AAAAAAAAAAAAAACTCTTTAAAAAAAATAATTAGAAATGACCAAAACAAGTTTTTGATGCCAAATACTAGTGAGCATCTTCGGTTTCCTTATTGGTGAGAGGTCATTCAGCAGTGTCTGTGTCCAAAGAACCCTTGTGGGAATAAAATTGAACCAAACATGGCTCATATTCTCAATGTGCTTATTAGCTAGTGGAGAAACAGTGGAGTACACGAATAACGGTACTCTAGATGAACCATGACTCTTATGTGATGGGGAAGCAGGAGTCAGTGCTGTAGACCTAGAAGCTTTAGGCTTACATCATTCAAAAATCATTTATTTCTCTAAAATCCAAACCTCATCAAATTTAAATGTAGCTCGAAGACTTTAGCATTGAATTGAAACATTTTGAGTTTAGTCAGTCTCCCAGACTATGTTAGAAGTTATAATTGCTAAAAGTGTACTGTTTCCCTTTAAACTCAAAAATTGGCCTGGTGTTAGTAGAATGGCAAATATTCTGACTAATAACGTGCAGAGCTAAAAAATGTAAATGTGGAAAAAGTTAACTTTAAAGATTGGGACTTTTATACAATTGTGGCTTAGTTAAAAATCTTTGAATGTTGAGATGTAGTAAAGCCAACCGTATTGCATAATATTAATAGTACAGTTATAAGTACTTCTATATGTTGCTTTAATCCTCATAAAACTCAGTAGTTACTATTAAGGATGTTCATTGTGGAGCAAAGTGTTAGAGTCCTACATGCATCCTGCAAATACTCCTGAACCTTCCATGTGCCAACCACTGTCTAGACACTAGAGATACATTGGTGAGCAAGACAGGTCTTCTGTCCTCATGGAGCTTACATTTTGTTAGGGAGATGGACAAAAATCAGCTAAAGAAATACTCATATTAATGTATTAAAGGTTAAAACAAATGAAAAGAAAATAAGCCAAAAAAGGATAAAGTGAGACTTGTGGGAGTGCTTCCAGGGGTCAGAGAAATCTTTGCAGTGGCGATACTTGAACAGAGACCACAAACTGTGAAGAACATTTCAGACAGCATGAGTGCAAAAAGAACTTAAGATGGGAATGTGAGACAAATAGTAAGGACACCATGGTAGCCCGAGCCGGGGGAGGGCTGGAGGCAGGAATTGAGATATTATCTACATATAATAGGAGGCCACTGGAGGGTTTTAAACAGGGCATGATGACTGGTTTATGTGTAGAAGGGTAATTGCGGCTGCTCTGTGAAGAGGAGAACATGGATGGGGTGTAGCAGTGGGAGCAGAGAGACCCCTCTTGGGCTTCTGTCATCATTCAAGCAAGAGTTGATGGTGGCATCTTAGACCAGCATTGTAGTGGTAAGGTGAGAGGTGACGGGTTTATTTGAAAGGAGACGTGATAGAATTTGTTGACAGATTGGATGATGGGGTGTAAGAGAAAACAAGGAGTCAAGGGTGACTACAAAGTTTTTGGACTGAGTGAATGGTGGTGCTGTTTATTGAGCTGTGAGTTGGAGAAGGATCACTTGAAGGAGGAAATTAAAAATCTGGGTTTTTTTTTAAATATATGTATTTTTTAAGATTTTATTTATTTGTCAGAAGAGAGAGAGCACAAGCAAGGGGAGCTGCAGGCAGAGGGACAAGCAGGCTCCCCGCTGAGTAAGGAGCCCAATGCGGGACTCGATCCCAGGGCCCTGTAATCATGACCTGAACCGAAGGCAGACCCTTAACCTACTGTGCCACCCAGGCATCCCAAAAATCTGGGTTTTGATGAAGATTGCGGTAGCCCGTTAAACATCTGAAGTGGAACTGTTGAGTTGGTAGTTAAATACACAAGTTGTGTGCCAGAGGAGAGAGGTTAGGGCTAGAGATGCAACTTTAGGAGGTGCCAACCTCTAAATTGTACAGAAAGGAAAGAGGATGGAGAGAGGAGAAGGGGGTCCGAGGACTCAGCTCTGGGACAGTCTGAAGGCCAGTTAGAGCAGGGCTCTCCCCAAAAAGGAGGATGTCTGTGTCGGTGCTTCTGAGAAAGCTAGTAAGGTGAGGACAGATGCCTCCTGATACCCACGGATTCATCTCTCCGGAAGTCCTTGGTGGCCCTTGACCAGGGCAATTGTAGTGGGGACTTTGAGACAAAAAGCTGGAGTTACTTCAGGAGATTGGACAGTGAGGAAGAAGAGTTTGCCATAAAGAGAAGCTAAGAAATGGAGTGGAGACGGTGGAAGAGGGACACGTAGTCAAGGAGGAATTTTCTTTACTTTTGATTTTAGGTGAGAAATAGTTCTATAACAGGTTTATATGCTTTTGGGAGTGATCTTCTTCTTAATCATCAAACACCTAGTGATGACCTTCTATGGCCTAAGTGGCATCTCAGACTTGACAGGATTCTCTTTCAGACATCTGTATGTGTTTTGTGAAAGACTTGAATTATAAAATTACAAAATATAATAGAGTTCAGGCTGGGCAGGCAGCCAGCCAGCCCTGGAATCACATTCTGGTCCTTCAGCTTCTAACCAGGTGATTATGAGTAAGTTACCTGGCTTCTCTGAGCCCATTTCCTAATCTGCAAAATGATACTTATTTTAGGTTTTTAAAACAAATATGTTAGCTGATGAACTGCACTGACTAGCATACTCACAGTATCTTTAGAGACAGTTTTTCCTTTGATGTCATTGTATATTATTGGAAAAGCCAACTGAATTTGCTGCACAAAATATGGTCCATTGGCCAACAGAATTAACATTAGCTGTCAGTTTGTTAGAAATGCAGACTGTTAGGCCCCCATGAGATCTTTGGGATTAGAACAAGAACCCCAGATGATTTGTATACACATCAAAGTTTGAAAAGCAGTGATCTGGAAAGCAAGTATCTGCCCGCCCTGTTTTTCAGGTGTTCGTGGAAGAAGGTAACAGCTTCCATATTTCTACCATGCTTGTCATCTGAAAGCGTTTTTTACACCTCGCCTTATTGCTTGTAAATGTTTCTCCGTATGTGATGACCTTTTCTTTTCTAATTATTGAAATACAGATAATTAGGAAGGTTGATAAGCAGACCGCTTTACTGGATGCAGATGATCCTGTGTCACAACTCCATAAATGTGCATTTTACCTTAAGGATACTGAAAGAATGTACTTGTGCCTTTCTCAAGAAAGAATAATCCAGTTTCAGGTATGTTTTAAAATTATTGGTAAAAATGTACTGTCTTTCAGTTAGCAGCATACAGAAACCTAAAACTCTCATGTAATGTTAATTGTACCCAAATACATGAAGCTGTTTTCAGATATTTATCTCAAGTCCAAAGGTTCTTTAACCTACGTGATCCTGAGAAATGGCCGTCACCCTACCTCAAGGAAGAACTCAAAACGATAAAAATGTTCTTGGAGAAACAGTTAACGTCTAGTTCTGGGAAATCGAAAAGTTCCGCAGATCTTCCAAAAGTAGATTTTGAGCGTTTGGTGAATCCGCTGAAGCTGTGTGAAGACATTGTAGATAGATACACATATATTTTGGGGGAGAGTTCATAATTATCAGATTTACATTGGGGTCTTCCTAGATGGTCATGACGAGATGTTTTGTAAGCTGATTTTTGACTACATTCATTCAGAAGTCTTTCATGAGTACATCTATGACAGGGACAGATGATTTAATAGGATAATTATACTTTCGTGTGAAACTCATTTGTCAACATCTGGAGACCTGTTTCAGAGAGGTGGCCACGTGCAGCCATTCTCCTCAGCCCGGAGCGGATGGACTGGTCTGGGTGTTTCAAGGTAGGGGTAGGGGAATGCCAGTTCACATCTCGGCTCCCTCCTGCTGAAAGTGCATGAGATGAGTTTCTAACTGCTCTTTAAGCTTGAGGGGCTCCTAGTTTCTTTCTTAGGGATCTGTAAAGAGTTTTAATTAACTATTTATATCACGAATACCGATCTTTTATTAAAGAAATTATACAGGTACTGGTGTACTCTCAAATGGTTATTATGAAAAGTATTATTTTTAATATGTCACCAAAATATAATAAAAACTGCTGAATGTGAGGTTGCCAAATTAAATATTCTGTTTATATTTATTTAGGGACTGGCAAAGCATCGTGTTTGGAAGTTCATAAATTTGTACTGAATTCTCTCCCTGTTAACTCCAGTGTACAAGTGCTTCCTTGTTAAAATTGTCTTATACTGCAATGTATATAAAACTCGATTTCTAAACATTCTTTCTTCATAAGGCCACTCCATGCCCAAAAGAACCAAATAAAGAGATGATAAATGATGGAGCTTCCTGGACAATCATTAGTACGGATAAGGCGGAGTATACATTTTATGAGGGAATGGGCCCTGTCCTTGCCCCAGTCACCCCTGTGCCTGTCGTAGAAAGTCTTCAGGTAAGACCACTTACTCACAAGTTGACTTTTATTTTTGGGGTTTTTGTTGTTGTTGTTGTTTTAAGATTTTATTTATTTATTTGACAGAGAGAGAGAGAGACAGCGAGAGAGGGAACACAAGTAGGGGGAGTGGGAGAGGGAGAAGCAGGCTTCCCGCGGAGCAGGGAGCCCGATGCGGGGCTCGATCCCAGGACCCTGGGGTCATGACCTGAGCCGAAGGCAGATGCTTAACTGACTGAGCCACCCAGGCGCCCCTATAATCATGTTATTTAAAAAGAAGAGTTTTGGGCGCCTGGGTGGCTCAGCTCTTAAGCGTCTGCGTTCTGCTCAGGTCATGATCCCAGGGTCCTGGGATCGAGTCCCACATCGGGCTCCCTACTCGGCAGGAAGCCCGCTTCTCCCTCTCCCACTCCCCCGTTTTGTGTTCCCCGCTCTTGCTGTCTCTCTCTCTGTCAAATAAATAAAATCTCTAAAAAAAAAATAAAATAAAAAGTTTTATTCATTTTTTTTTAACAAATCATAGTCAAATGAAAAACTAATCTGTGTACTTCAATGAAAAATGAAAATTTTTCTCAACATTGTTCTCATTTTCTGTGACTTTCAGTTGAATGGCGGTGGGGACGTAGCAATGCTTGAACTTACAGGACAGAATTTCACTCCAAATTTACGAGTGTGGTTTGGGGATGTAGAAGCTGAAACTATGTACAGGTACTTAATGAAACTTCTTACATCATCTGGAGTTTTTGATGGGGGTGGGTACATGGGATTCATTCCAGTTGTAAAACGTACGTGGCTTCTAAGTTATTTCTATCCCCCCCAGATGTGGAGAGAGCATGCTGTGTGTTGTCCCAGACATTTCTGCATTCCGAGAAGGCTGGAGATGGGTCCGACAGCCAGTCCAGGTCCCAGTAACTTTGGTCCGTAACGATGGGATCATTTATTCCACCAGCCTTACCTTTACCTACACGCCAGAACCAGGGCCACGGCCACACTGCAGTGCCGCGGGAGCCATCCTTCGAGCCAGTTCAGGCCAAGTGCCCCCTAATGAATCAAACACAAACAGCGAGGGAGGTTATACAAACGTCAGCACAAATTCAACCAGTGTCACATCCTCTGCAGCAACAGTGGTGTCCTAACTACCGTCTTTTTGCTAGGACTTAAACTGACTTGAGTGCGGCAAAATGGTGACAAAAAAAAGAGAGAGAGAAAAAGGAAAAAAATGAACCATCTTTTGTGGTTTCTTGGGAAAACTTTTCATACCAGGTGATACTGTTCCAAAACCCCATTACCTACAAGTGCTGATTGGACATGCAGAAGCCACAGTAAAACAGACAAGCAAAACATGGAAATGTACAAACTATTGGAATTCGGTGTTTTTTTCCAGCTGTTCTTTTTGTTTGGTTGGCTTTTGTTTGGTTTTGTTTAAATGGGCAAGAAATAGAGATGTGGCTGGAATAAAAGTTAATCAAGCTAGAAGACACAAATCTAACATAGTTTTTATGGACCAAGGAACTTGCATAAGCTTTAGCAAAAGGTACATTTTCACCATACCTTTTTTTTATATCACAGTATCTAGTACACCTTTGTTACCAAATAGGTTGTTCCCCTCCCCGCCCCTCTTTGAGCTTCTGCTCTTCAGTACATTCAAGTTCCAAGCCTGACCATGCTTGTTTAATCTAATTACCATATTCTTCCAGGGTTTTTTGTTTTTGTTTTTGTTTTTATTTAAGGCTGGAACTCTTACTCTTTTTTTTTTTTTTTAAGCAGATGTCTTAATGACTTTTCATGAGTCGAAAGTGTTTTGGTTTCAGCAAGTCAAATCTTGTAAAGGCCCGCATATTTTTTTTAAGATTATATGAAGTCTGTGCAAAAGCTTTAAAAAAAAAAATGCCTCTGCCTTGCCTGCAATACATGCAATGTACGTTAACTTCGTCTCTGTTCTCAGACACTGTCTGTAGTTACTTCCTTGTTTTCCTTTTTTTTTTTTAAAGTATTTATAGTGGTATTCCAAGAGGTGGAATTAAATGTGGCCATTTAGTCCTTAATGAATTAATGGCTCAGAACATGGTATTTGGAGTGTTCTCTCCCCTTTTCCCATGCGTAAATGTATCTCCATGTTCAAGGATTTGTTCAGGTCCCTTCCCCCACCCCCACCCCGCCCCCCCACAACTCCCTGATCTTGTACATAACTTGTATTATGTGTAAGTTAAACATTTTATTTTGAACTTGGAACGTTCCCAGTGATTTCATTCAGCAGGGTGTTTTCTGCCTTGTCAGCATATGACAAAAAAAATATATATATATATCATGAGAAGTATTTGCTACCAGTTGGTAGATGGTGCCCTTATTGAGGAAAATCTCAGCAAAAGCATGTGTTTACTTTTTTTTTTCTTTCTTTGGTAGCCTAGGTCAAAACATTGTAAACCTTAAAACAAGATGCTTTTATTAGATGACCAGCTAAAATAGCTTCGAAGACAGTACTTTAGAACAGATAGTTGTGAGATTATAAAACTGCAAATGTAATTTATCTTTCCATATCTCTCCTGCCTTTCTTTGTCTTCTCTTCCCCAGTACTGAGTGTCTCCACAAATGTCTCCTACTCAGAAAACATTTCTTTTCCATTCAGTTAAGATTTAGTTGCATTCAGGGTTGTGTGTAGGCCTCAGACGCTCAGCTCACCGGTTTCACATTGCTTCCCTTCCCGCACTTTAGTTATACCTTCGTTCGGTTTCTCAGAAATTTACAGCCGACTCACTGGGCTACATTTAGTACAGGAACCCTGTGTGTAACTTATAGGACACAGTCTAGTAATACAATCATCCTTCTTAGAGTTAAAAACTACCTCTAGAATGTGGTAAACTTTTACTATCCCATAAAACAGGAGCCACAAGTACCTTATGAATGCAAAACTAACTTCCTGCAGTGTTTCCAGACAGAACATTGTCTTTCTGGTGTCCTGGGCAATTTTGAAGACATTGTCATCAGAAGACTTTTTAAACATCTTATTAGTAGCTTTTTTTTTTTTTTTTGTCCCCCAAGCTTTGCTGTCTTCATCACTCATCCTTTTGCTCAGACTATGTCATTGTAAATACGATTGCTAACCTCTCTAAATCACCTTTTCCTCAGTTTTCAAGGGGGAAGTCATTTGTAAAACACGTTAGTGGTTAAGTCAAAGTTATTGTGGTTTTCTCTTACTGCAAGCCTTTTTAAATTACTCACAGGCTGCATTCTTCTCTCTATATAAGCCTTCTCTTCAGATGTGCTCCAGTCACTAGCTTCTCCTGTAAGCCGACCCAGCCTCACACTTTAAATCTGTTCCAGTGATCCAGGGCAGAATTGTGGCCTTATCTGTCTTTGTTTTAACTGTTTACTAGCTGCTTCTTGCAAACTTGCTCATTTCCAAGTAGTATTTCTTCTTCTCTGTTGAGTCACTGAAGTAGTCTTTATACAGTGCTTTTTGTTCGGAGTGTGGAAATATTTTCAGTGCCGCTCTCCTTTGAATGGGCCACTCCCCAGGTTTGGTGTCTAGTTAGGAAACTGTGTTAAATTAACCGATAACAGATGAGATACTTTCGAAGAACAAACAATTCCTTACCTATCTTTGCAGCTCAAATTAACTTTTCAAGTTGATGGCTTTATTAAAATGAACTTTGCTTTTTTACTATTTAATTATGCCTTATTTTGGCTCTTTGTTTCTTTTAATAAGGTAATTTTGAAATATTAGACTGTAAAGCCTTTTCCTGTTTGTTTTTTTTGTTTGAAAAGTCCAAGAATGTACTTATACAGGCATTTCCCTTGCTATTTTATGCCATTCTGCATACCACAAACTAAAGACTGAAATGATTTGTCTGTTGTACCTTCTTATTTTAATCAGTAGTTCTTTTGTCAGCTGCTTTTAAAAAAAATCTTCATGGATTTGTGAATCATTTTCAGTGTATAATTTATAGGAGCCTTGTCCTCTGGTTATAGAAGAACTCAGCCCCTCCTCAGATGGCATTATTAGAGATGCTGGTCCTTTTTCCTCATAACGACTCTCTTAGAATGGTGGCCGCTTCAGTTAGAGAACATTCGAGTTTGGAGTTCTGTTTTTTTAATTCTGTTTTAGAAGCGTATCTTCTGCTCTCATGAGCTATGCAATCTCTAAAAATGTGCTAGAAACTGAGTCTGTGATCCGGTATGTTTTTATTAGTTACATTGAATTGATCACATAGATTGGGAAGGCAAGTAAAAGACTTTAAATGTAGAATGCCCTTTTGATTTTGAATGATTTCCCGAATTGAACACTAGGATAATATTTAACCTGCTGCTGACTTTTCTTCAACTGTGGCAACTAAAGGCATCCTCATTTATGTGTTAGTGAAGTATTTATCATTCTCTGCACAGACTTATTTGCGATCATAACTGGTTAGTTTGTGTGTGTGTGTGTGTGTGTGTGTGTTTTAAGTGAAACTGGTACCATCTGTGCCCTCACAGAATATTCCCAATGCAATTTTTGAGAACTAAACTCATCATGTTTAACCAGATAATCCACAGGGGGGAGGGGTTCCTTTTTTAAACAAAATGCTATTCAATTATTAACCAGGTTACTTACTTTTGATTTCAAAAGCAGCTGTGTTTTCTGATGAGTACTGAACAAATGTGTGTAATTTCTGTGCCAGACTTTTGACTTTGTTTTCAAGCACTGTAATGTGGGATGAATGATTAGAAACAATAATATATTAGGGTTTCTATTTAACCCTTTCAGGACTGAATTGTATCTCCTTTTATTAATTTTTCCCTGTGTCGTGATAAATGTTTGCCAGCATTCAGTACTGTGTTGGTCCAGATGTAGGTTTATATGCTCATTTTTAGCTTATTTCTTGTACCTTGCAGCATGCTGTACGCATTCAGTCCTTAAGGGGTTTATTTTACAAACTGTGCGCCTGTAAGGTTTATTAGCAATAAGATAGAAAATTGAGCAAGTTTATACCATAATTTTGTAGAAAAAAGAATCTGCTCAGTTCCATATTTCATCCATGAGAAACCTGCAATACGGCAGTTGCAAGGAATAAATAAAAAGGAAATGTAAACCATTGTAAAAGTCTTCTGTCGAATGTGCCTGATGCATGTATGACCTTCTCTTGATTTCAGAATACTTCATAAAGATACAATTAAATGACATATCACAGTTTGCGTATTAAAAATCTTAGCTTGCTATCTGCATCACATCAAAGTGATAGCTATGTGAATTTCTTTTTCAGTGTTTTTATCACTTCAGAGAGAGAGAGTGTTTTGGGGTCCCCCCCTGTAATAAGGGGCTTTGTCACTCAAGGGGTGTATCTCCCAATTCAGGAACATTTCAAGCTACTCTCAACAAGATTAAAGAGTATTATTTAGCAGCAGCTTGCTTTCCAATATAAAGTTGTCATTTGGTTTGCCGTATGGAAGAATATATAATGATGGTTTATGCTCTTTAATGGGGGCTCCTAATTGGAGAGAGCCTTCTTTGTTTAATAGGGAAACAAAGTAAAACGGGGGGCATTACATATTTTTTAAATCATAGCAAGTTTTTTATCTGACTTCTCCCAAAAGAAAAAAATACGTTACCAGAATTTTACTAAAGACCTCTTACTCTAAAAATAGTGATTGTTAAATAAGAAACAATTTAGTTGGAAGCTTTTAAAGGTGGAGATTGATAGTGATTACTTAATGTAGAATTTCGAAGAGCATAATAAGCATATATTCCTTCCTATAAATAGTACGTGAGCCCTAAGCAATCTTATCAAAGATCCATTAAGTCTATTTTCTTCTTCTTGTCACTAAACCCGTAATGATTGCCATTTATAGAGACGCAGAGGGCAAGCTACATCAGGTTCTAGTGGTAAGTGGTCACAGAAGGGAGTCTTCTCCTTTAAAAAAAAAAATCTAGAAAGTGCTGGGAAATCATGAGGGAGATGGATGAAGCCGATGTATGTAAAGAGATGATTCATCTTGACCTAAGGGTTACAGCCTAAACCATAAGGCCAAGCGATAGCGCCTGGAAGAAATGGACAGTCAGTCGTACACATAGTTCTTTGTGTTCAGGATAAAGTCATTTATGTGCCTGGCACAGAGATAGTAAGTTGAGTTAAAGGTGTTCGGCTCACATATGTAGAAATCATGACTTATCTTGGTTCACTGAAAAGGCAGGTAAATATCCTCTAATACAGATAAAGGGGGAAGGTTTTGACTACAAGGACCGTTCATACCAAACATAGATATAACTGTTGGATTTATAGAATGTTTTGCTTTTTGGTACTTTAAACTGGTATTCTATGAAAAAAAAAATGTTTAAAGGTATCTGTGAAGTTGAGGTGTGTATCAAGTTCTTTCCGGCATAATGATTGTAGTCCTTGTTTTTCATCTCTCAAATTCTGCCACCTTACTTACTCATACAAACGTCTAGGTCAGTCATTTCTGGCACCTTTGTCTGGTTGATAATTTCTCCTGGTGCTGGACAGAGTAGGGTCACTAGTATTTATTTAAAGCCCGAACTTTCCATCTAGAAGCACCCCCTGCCTTCATCATATAAAGGAGTAAAGAGTGTAAGTAGGTGGTTTCCACAGTGGCCTCTGGGGCAGGCCTTGATAGCTGTT